CCTTCTTGTAGTCAATCAGGCATTTCTGAAACAATACCTTCACGCTAAATAAAGCTTCCCTCATACCAACATCGTTTACAAATCCAAACTAATTGGGCGCAATTTGTTCCTTGCATTTCCATTAAATTCTTTTGTGGATGACTTTTAAAAACAGCTTCAGCAGATGACTCATTAGGCTTATGGTCCTATAATCTTCACAAACTTTTGCTCCTGTTTTTTTTGGCAATAGTACGAACTCCGATTTGAGCCACTCTACTGATATTTTTCCTGCCTTGTATATTTCGTTAAATATTTCAGTTATTATTTTTATTTGTTCTGCATCTAATAGCTTCAACAGTTCTGCAGGAATTTTATCAAGTCCCGGTGCCTTTCCATCCTTCATTTGTCTGACGGCTGCCGGTATTTCTTCTTGTAGGATTTCGGGACCTGCCATGTAGGTTACCGATATTATATTCAGCCATAGGAGTTTTCAACGCTTCTTGATTGTTTCGAGCTTCTCTCATATGACGTATATTAATTTTAAATACGGATTATATGACATATGACAGAAGCTCGAAACAAATAAGAAGCATTGAAAAGTCTTATTGGTGACACTGTAATAAATGTGTAATATTTCCCATCAAAGTGTTTTAAGAGTTCTGCATGAAGAGCAATTACATCCTTACCACTATCGACAGGTGCAGGAATTGTTACCTGACGATATGCCACTTGGAGTTGATTTTTGTGAAGTATTGCAAAATAAAGTTCAAACTGCACCAAATTTTTTAAGCAACATTCTGTTTACAGACGAGGCCACATTTATAAGATATGGTATGTTCAATTCTATATGCACTTCTGGGCTGCAGAAAATCCAAGGGCTACAATGGAAACTCACTTCCAACACTCGTTCAAGATAAACGTTTGGGCAGCTACTTTAGACAATAGTTTCATAGGATACCACATTTTTCCCGGAAATTTAAATGGTAACATGTATTACAATTTTCTAGACAATATTTTACATGATATTTTGGAAGATATTCTATTACAAATGCGAAGAAACAAGTTTTTCAAGGATGATGATGCTACACCACATTACACAAAAATTTGTAGAAGGTGGTTACATGAACAATATGAACATTTCCCTGATAGCTGGATAGGCCGGGGTGCGGATGCACCGATTCATTGACCTGCTCGTAGCTGTGATCTTAATCCAATGGACTTTACAGTTTGGAGTTATTTGAAATCAAAAGTGTATAACACTCCAAGTAATACAGTAAATGAGTTAAGATACAAAATTGAATAAGTATTTACCGATTTACAAAACGATCCAGTAACATTAAATGGATTAATGCGTTCGCTAAATAAAATAATTAGATTATGTATTCAACAAAATGGAGGACATTTTAAACAGTTGTTGTGAAATATTATTCTCGATATTAATTGAATGTTAAGTGTTAATTAAGTTTTCCATTAATTTGTAATATTATTGCTAACACAAGTATCAATTCCAAAGCATACTTGATGAATATTAAGAACTGTAACGATTACAATAAAATACATGTATACCTTCGAGTTTAAATAAATCGAAAACGGTGATATCTATCGAAATATTACAAGAACACCTTTTTTGTGTATAGAAAAGTCTAAAGAAACAATTTTTATAATATTTTTTTAAAATATGTAAAAATTAAAAAACATGTGACTCAATAACCCCCACTTTCCCTCCAAAACTACCCTGTATTAACATAGGACGTGGTAGGTGGTGACATAAAATTAATTATCCTAATGTCTTATAATCACTCCCAAAATATGAACTCGGTATTCAAAACCGTTTGGAAGATATTTGAAAAAATAAGAATTTTAATTCACCCCTTTAAAGGGTTGTACCTCCCTTATTATTTAGTTTTATAAAAAAAGTATACATAAAGAAATACCCTTATTTTTGGACGTACAATGAGCTCCAGAAATAAATCTACATAATTCTGGACCACCTTCTATATTTTATAAATTTAATTTCAGGTAGTTTTTTTACATATTTTATTATTTTATTCCTTATATTAATCAATATTATGTTGATTTTTCGAGGTTTTCCGAGATTTCCGGTGGGGCAAGTGAAAATTATATCATTATTATAAATACTGCGACAGACTATCCCAACCAAATTTTTAAAAATGCCAAAGTTTTTACAGTGAATTTTATATGGACTCAATTTTTCCGAGGTTTCTCATATTTCCCGGCCAGTGAAAACTATGTAGTTTATTCATATTTCGACAAGCTACCCCAGAAAAAAAGAGTCTTCCAGCTGCAATGGAACCCAAGATAATGTTAATTTTTCCTACGTATTTTAGTTTGAAGTTCCGATCTCAAAAAAAAACGGAGCTAAAACAGGTATCCCCTCCACTTTACTATGTCGACCTTTCGAAAGTACCTCCGTTTCGAAGCGCTGTAAGTTTCGAAAACTTGAATGAATTTTATAGCTTTAAGTTTCAATATAAAGTTTAGATTTTCATTCTAAATGTATGCAAATTTTACTTCTTAATATTTATAAACAATGGAGATGGAGATTAAAAATGTAAGTTTTTTTACTAGCTATAAAATGGTTGTACTTACAAGTCTGTAGCTTGAAAACTATAGAAGTTATTACAGTTGTAATAACTTCTATATATTAATTTAACAAAACTAAAAAATAAACTGATACTTTCTTGATACGTTACAAACCCATATTATTTTAAAAAAAATCGATTGAATAGACAATACAAGACCACATCCAAAATTAGAAAAAATGTACAGGGTGCCATTAAAAAAATTGAGTTAAGGGTTGTAACTAAAAGATGAATATTTAGGGGATGATATTTTCTTCGCCATATTAAAGTGTATTATAAATGGAATAGACCAGTTTTTGTCCCTTAAAAGAAGCTCTATTTTGTTAAGAAATATAGCGTGGATAAATTTGTCTGGACACTTAATTAACAAAAATAAATTTATTTCTTGATTATTTACAAACCGAATTTATTTTTAATAAATTTGTTAAATAGTCGATAGAATACCATATCCAAAACTATAAAAAAATATACAGGGTGCTTTAAAAAAAATTTAAGTTAGGGGTTGTAACTAAGAGATGAATATGTAGGATGTGATTTATTCTACGCCATATTAAAGTGTATTACAAGTAGAATAGATCACTTTTTGTCCCATTTGAAAATCTCTATTCGTTTAAGAGATATAGCGTGGGTAAATTAGTCTGGGACAGCCTATATTTAATAAGACGGTAATTCTATATATATTTTATAAATTTAATTTCAGGTAATTTTACACAGTTTATTATTATATTCCTCATATTAATTAATATTATGTTGATTTTTCGAGATTTTCCGAGATTTCCGGTGGGGCGGGTGAAAATTATGTCATCATTATTAATACTGCGACAGACTATCCCAGCTAAATTTTAAAAAACGCCAAAGTTTTTACAGTGAATTTTAAATGGACTAAATTTTTCCGGCGTTTCTCACATTTCCCGGCCAGTGAAAATTATGTAGTTTATTCATATTTCGACGAGCTAATTTTTATAGCTTTAAGTTTCAATATAAAGTTTAGATTTTCATTCTAAATGAATGCAAATTTTACTTCTCAATGTTTATAAACAATGGAGATGGAGATTAAAAATGTAAGTTTTTTTACCAGCTATAAAATGGTTGTACTTACAAGTCTGTAGCTTGAAAACTATAGAAGTTATTACAATTGTTTGTAAGTAAAAATATATCCATTTTTCAAACGTTTATTTTGTAAATAATTTCGAGGAAAACGCAATATGCATTTAACTTATACTACTAAACCATAGTTTAAGTCTTAAAAAATCCTATGAAATTTGCTAAATGTGTCTAGATTCAATAATAGAGCAAGTTCAATAGTTTAAATATTTAGACTCAGGGATAAATAAACTAAATAAATTTTAAACTACCCATTTAGCCGATCGGGGGGAAATTTCGCACAAATTTTAAAGACTTGTTCGATGTTGAAATGTATTAATAACACTTTATTTTGTTTATAAAAATATTAATAAAATTTATATATTATTACAAAAAAACTGCTGTTTGCAAATATTTCCGTAAATTATTTATTAATTTTAATTTAAAAAACGGAAAAATAAAGATATTCTTAATATAAAAAATGATATAAATATTGCTTATGTAACATCTAAGTGAAAAAAGTTATAGACATAAAATCAAGTTTTGGCCATAAATTATTGTTTAAAAAAAACGCAAGGTAAAATACGAGTACTTTTCATCTATTCGTCATCTAGCTACCTATGTCTTAAAGCTTCAGATATCTGCGAAAAATTTTTCGGCATTTTTTTTTAACCAGACTGGGCTATGAATACAGTTAGACAGGAATAATAATTAAATATTTCTATACGAACTGGTTTTACAAATCGGTCTCTTCACAAAAATTTAAAGATAAAACTTTATTTTTACAAAAAGTAGAAAAGACAAGACATTGGTATTGTTATCATAGCATATTTTAAATATAGTCATTCTGTCTTCACAAAATTAAGTTCAAGAAATTATTACTTCTGGCTGTAACACTTCTAATGTCACCAGTATATTTAACTTGGCTCAAGAAAACAGTTTCAGAACCTTTTTATACATACTTCCAATATTTTAAAAACTGCGCTACTATGGAACCATGTGCTCATGTAGATCATTTTCCGGATTCCACTAGAAAAACTATAACCCTATGCGTTTCGTCCAAAGTTAGATGAAGTGGTTTCGCTGTAAAAGGGAGTATTTTTGAGGCACTTAATAATCAAGAACTCTTTATCGTGAATAAAACCGAAACTACCTGATTAATTAAGGTATAAATATTCCGTTTCTTTCTCTCTCCTGTAAATAAATACATAAGGCATTGTTAACAGGGCTGCGTTTTTTGTTAACAGAATGAGCATTTATAATAATTAAATACAATTTAAACATTTGCGAAAATCTGTTTTTATTAATTTTATGATTTTATATAAATATCCCTAGATTTAGCCAATATAATATTCATAAATGCATGTTCGAATCCTTGTTCGTCCTTGAAATAATAAAATGGACCAGCTTTGCCTCAACAAATATCAGCAACTCTAAATCTGAATATTTGTGTCATCAAGGTGTGTATAAATTTGGTGCCAAAATAAAGAGTGACCATAACACGTTCAGAAGTGCATCTAGCAAGATGAAGACCATTGTAAGTATACTTTCGGTTTATTACGCAGATATATTTTCGGTCGTCATTACAACACACGCAATTAGACAAAAACAAAGGTCATTGATTCTCGTATTTAAATGCCAAGTAAAAATTTTACTATTAATCATGTTTTGTGTGAAAGTAATAGAGAGAATAAATATGTACTTTTTTTATCCAAATTATTTACCTAATATATCTATTGATTTTTTTTATTATTTCACTAGTTGCTTAGGATATGTTTTATTAATTGAAATACATAGTGCAATTCTTTCTCCTTCTAAGACGGTTGCGGTACTCGAAACTACTATTAATAATAATGCAGCTATAGTTAAGTTGATATAGCTGTAGTGGCCGTTTTTATTTCTCTTCTTTACGACTTTTTAATCTTTGTCACTTTATTTACAGTCTTAATCTTATCGGCTGGAGCTGTAGATTTGGTAACAGTTTAGCTGCATATTCAGACCTCGTTTTTTTTCTAAACTAGGTTTTGCAGGTCCTAAAAACGAAGATACTTGCACAATTTAGATTTTTGACACACATTTTTATTTACTTGTGCAAAATATCCACTAAATATTTTACAATCCCTTATTCGCCAAGATATGAAACGTTCTGCCTTTATTAATCGATATTTAAGTATTTGTAAGTTTACTAATATTTCATTACTTATTTTTCTTAATTTCTTAATTTTAGAAAATTCTTAAATTTTCTAAAATAGCGATTTCAGAAGTGGAAATAAAAATGTCAAAATACAGTAGAATTTTCAGTCAAAAATTATCATAATACAGGATATTTGCACCTATTAAGTATTTATTAATAAATTATAAAATATCTACAGAAATTGCACCTGCCGAATTTGCAAATGCCATGGTAATTTTGTTAGCCATGACTTTCATGGCGAGTTTCAAAACAGTGTCTTTGTTCAGAAACTTAATATTTTTCCACTACTGAGGAAATAATAAACCAACAAATTTCTTTATAGAAATACTTCTGTCAGTCATTTTTTCTGCTTATAGGAATTAATTACAAGTTATATCTCTTTCTTGCCCTTCATTTTTTATTAGACACCAGTTTGTAAAATGTTTTACTTTCCTCACCTTTTCTTGCAAGCTATGCGAAGAGAGAATACAAGACACACAGTTTGGATTCATGAAAGGCGTAGGTACAAGAGATGCACTGTTTAGTCTACAAGTATTATTTCAAAAATACAGAGATATGACTTGCGATATTTACACCTGCTTTGTGGTAAACCAAAAAGCATTTGATACAGTTCAACACCAAAAAATGATGGATATTCTAACAAAAGCCCAAATGGATGATAAAGATCGGCGTATAATACAAAATTGATACTGGAACCAATCAGCCACAATAAGAACGAATTTTGGAGGTGAACCAACGAAATGATCCAAATTCTACGAGGCGTTAGACAAGGTTGTATACTTTCACCTATATTATTTAATCTATATTCAGAGGAAATATTTAGTGAAGCCTTGGAAAAATGCGAACATGGAATACTTCTAAATGGAGAACGCCTAAACAACATCCGTTATGCAGACGACACCGTTATTTTTGCAGACAGTTTGAACAGTTTACAGCAACTAATAAACAAAGTAAATGAAGTAAGTGAAAGATTTGGACTTCAAGTAAATATAACAAAAACTAAATTTATGACCATCAGCAAAAATAAAGTTAGAGACGCTCAACTACTTATCAATAATACACCAGTGGACCGAGTAAAACAGTATAACTATCTTGGAACAACAGTAAATGAACAATGGGATCACTCACAGGAAATAAAATGTAGAATAGAGAAGGCTAGGAGTGCATTCAATAACATGGCCAAACTCTTTAAAAGCCACAATCTTAATCTGGAGATAAAAGTAAGGCTTCTACGATGTTATATCTTCTCAATATTGTATTACGGAGTTGAATCCTGGACACTAACTGAAGCAATGGAGAAAAAACTTGAAGCCTTCGAGATGTGGCTATACAGGCGAATTCTAAGGATATCATGGACAGACAAGATAACCAACGAGACCGTATTACAAAGAGTGGGCAAAGAAAGAGAGGTGATGTATACCATTAAAAGGAGAAAGTTGGAATATCTCGGACATATAATGAGAAACAGCACTAAATACAGATTACTGAAGGTAATCCTACAGGGTAAAGTATTCGGAAACCGAGGAATTGGGAGAAGGAGAATATCATGGTTGAAGAACCTGAGGAAATGGTTCTCCACAACAACAACGAATTTATTTAAAGCAGTAGTTAATAAAATAATTATAGCCAGAATGATTGCCAATATTCGGAACGAATGGGCACTGAAAAAAGAAGAAGAATCTCTGCTGTTTCTAAGATTCTTTTTGTCCTCTCTGTCTCAGTCTTGTTTCTTCTGCGTATGTCATTATTGATCTGACGACTGTTTTGTAAATTCTGCTTTTCGTTTCTTTCCCGATATTTTTGTTTCTCCATATTGTTTCATTCAGGCAGCCTGCGTTTCTGTTTGATCTATTCTCTTGATCTTTCACTTCAGTTTAGAGCTTTTCGTAACTAGAAAATGTGATGCCTGGATATTTATATCATATACATTATTTTGTCTATATAGTGACTTGTTCAACATAAGATAATATTGTTGCGTATATAATTGTATTGCATATTTTCAGATAAAAAAAATAAAGAAGTATCTTCTAAGATTGTAGAGAAATATAATGCTATTGCTGTTGCTATTGCTAACTGAGTGTGTTTAAATATGAGAAGTATTTCTTTTAAAATGTTTAATAACTTGCCTTTTTAATTTTTTTACAGATCGCTTTCTCGACAATTGTAGCCGTAGCATTAGCTGCTAGTCTCGAGCACGTCGACCCTAAGCATATTCCCATAATCAGACAAGAAAACGAAGTCAGCGTCGACGGAAACTACCGTTCTTCATTTGAAACTGGAAACGGAATCGTTATCCAAGAACAGGGTGTTCTTAAAAACGCTGGTAGCCAAGATGCCTCTTCTGAAGTAGTTGGATCAGCAGAATGGAAAAGTCCCGAAGGTGTTCCAGTAGTGCTTAAGTATGTAGCTAATGAATTTGGATACCAACCCGAAGGAAACCTTCTCCCCACTCCACCAACACCTCCACCAATTCCAGAAGCAATCCTTAGGTCTTTGGAATGGAACGCTGCTCATCCAGAAGAAAATGAAGAACATCAAAGACCACAACATCACTAAATTATAATTGAAAATTGTAAATAAATCTTATTTTTCTATGATTTGTCATTATCTTTATTTTCATATACATTATTTTAGTTTTAAAAAATGAGCTGTTTTTTGATATTTTGGCTCCATGATCAAAAGTTGTTTTATGACTTAAAAACAGATCTATGATCAAAAGCAGTTTTATAGTAAAGTAATAAAGATAAACCGGAAAGAGATTTGGTACTTAAATTTTTTATGGAAAAGTTTTAAGATCAATGTTTTAAGGGCTGTTTTTGTCTGTTTTTCTTAAGAAGTTTAAGCAGAAACTAAGTAACTTTGTAAAGGATCATTCTTCTGCTTAAAATTTTTAATTACCATGATCAAAATGGGTTACATCTCTGACTGGACCTTAATTAGTTCACTTAGTCCTCTTTAGTTACTAGTTTTGATGCTTGCATGTATCTGCTTGTTTTATAAAGTGCCACTGCGGCACCAACCAACGGCTACCTATTGAGAAGCTAGTCATAAGACATTTTATTATCTTGAAATTAATAAATTGGTTCAAAGTGAAAGAACTGATCATGTAAAGGGCATTGAAATGGAAGTAAAGTAGGAAACCAACACATTAAAGATTATTACAAAATATTGATAGAAAAATGATCAACTATGATACAAGATGGTAACCCAAGATCATCGATATTCGATATTGAGGACCAAGATCCAGCAGGAAAGTAGACGACGCCTGCTTTCCTGCTGGAAAAAAATATTAAAAAAAATTTTAAAAAAATATTTTTTTTTCTCCAGAATGGATATTTTCGACATGAAAATCAAGAATCAACTTTTAAAGTGTTACGAAGGAGTACAAACAGAACCGATATCAGAATATTCTGACTTAGAAAATGACGCTTCTTCTGCACATAGCATTTATGATACGGACACTAAGCAGTCAGAAAACGATGAGACTTTTAAATTATGTAACGCAATTAACAAACCTATAGCAATGACTACAGATCAACGAATATTTCGTATGGGGCTTGGTACAAGGAAGGCATTATTTCTTCTTCTTCTTCAGGTGCCATCTCCGCTACGGAGGTTGGCAATCATCATAGCTATTTTCATTTTTGAGGTAGTAGCTCTAAATAGTTGTTTTGAGCTGCATCCAAACCATTCTTTTAGGTTCTTAAGCCATGAAATTCGTCTAATTCCGAACATTATCAAATATGCAGATGACACAGTGATAATAGTCGATAGTTTACAAGACCTGGAAAGACTCATAAGTAAAATAGTAATAGGAGAGTACGGACTCTCGCTCAATATCAAAAAGACAATGTTTATGAAAATTTGTAAAAAAACCACCATAATACTAACGAAATCTTGATAGTAGAGGCCCAGCAGATCGAAAGAGTAAGTAAGTACACTTACCTAGGAACACTTATAACAGAAAATAATGACTACACTGCAGAAATCAAAGTCAGCATCGAAAAAGCACGTTCTAATTTTATGAAAATGAAAAGGTCCTATGTGACAAAGACTTAACATAAGCTCTTAAAGTACACCTAATAAAATGTAACGTATACAGTGTACTATACTATGGAGTGAAATCATGGACGTTAAGTCTCGACACAATGAGATGACTTAACACCTTTGAAATGTGGATCTATAGAAGAATTATGAGGGTTTCCTGGGTAGACAGAGTTACGAACAATGAAGTATTGAGAAGAATAGGTAAAGAGAAGGAAGTTGAACTTACAATAAAAGAAAGAAAGCTACAGTATCTTGAACATTGTGATGCGGGGCGAGAAGTATGACATTTTGCGACTCATATGCAAGGAAAGATAGATGGCAGAAGAAGCATCGGAAGAACACGAGGTATTATTTGGCCTCCAGATATTACTACAAAAATGCAGAGATCAACGAAAAAACGTGTTTCTCTGTTTTATCGACTACGAAAAAGCGTTTGATCGAGTAAAACACACAAAACTCATAGAAACCCTAACACAACATCGAATAGACCATAACACTGTAGCACTTATTAAAAAACTATATTGGGATCAAATGGCGTCAATCAAAATAGACAATCGTCTGACAGGAGTTCGTCAGGGCTGTGTACTTTCTCCACTGTTATTTAATATATATCCCGAAAAGATCTTTCAAAATGCCCTCGAAAATATTGAAAAAGGAATAAAAATCAACGGAGAATACGTAAACAACTTAAGATACGCAGACGACACCGTCATTATTGCGGACAGTGCTTAGGGTTTACAACGACTTTTGAATGTCATAACCAGAGAGGGAAATAGCTTGGGACTAAATATAAATACAAATAAAACAAAAGTAATGGCTGTTACACGTGCACACGTGGCTGTATAACAAACATATAGAACCAGTACAAAGATTCCAGTATCTTGGTTGCTGGATAAAAAACTATCTTGACCACGAGGTCGAAAAATACGTGCTCGTATAGTATCTACTTATTCCATATTACTATACGGAGTGAAAACATACATTCTCGGAATTACAAGCATGAGGCATATAGAAGCCTTTGAGATGTGGGTTTTTCGATGCTGAAGATCTCTACCGTCTGCTACCGTCTGCTACAATTGATTGCCCAGGGAAAAATAGACAGTAAGCGAGGGTCAGGCAGGAGAAGACACTCGTGGCTCCAAAATCTGCGGAAGTAGTTCGGGCTCACGTCGGTCGAACTATTCAGAAGCGCCGCAAACAAGATCAAAATTGCCATGTTAATAGCCAACGTTGGCAACTGACAGGGCACTTGAAGAATAAGACGATCTCTAAGACAGAGCATGTGACCAACAACGAGGTGCCAAGAAGAATGGGTACTGAGAGAGAAGTCCTTAATATTGTAAAAACAGAAAAACGAGTTATCTAAGACATATTTACAGAGGAGAAAAATACAACTTCCTACGACTTATAATGGAAGGAAAAGTGAAAGGAAAAAGAGGTCCAGGAAGAAGAAAATGCTCCTGGTTGAAGAATGTAAGAAACTGGACAGGCATGGACACACATTCGATACTAAGAACAGCTCAAGATAAAGGGCAATTTGCTGTAGGTATAGCCAACCTTCAGTAATGGAGAAGACACCTTAAGAAAAGAAGTAATTTTTTTTACAAAGTGAGAAAAAATCTCTACACGGGACCTATAGCGTAAGGTAACTAAACGGGACCTATCCCGGGTTGATAATAATTTAAATCAGTTTTTTTCCGTTAAAATTGAATTATTTTTATTTGCATATTTTTATCCATAAAGGCATTAAATTCGTTTATTTTCATAGAACTATTTTTATATTAATATTTCTAAGTCATCTGTAAATAATATACTGAAGCAGTAAAATATTAGCCATTTAAAAAACAGTAAACTTTTACACTTTGTATAACAACTTGAGTAGTACAGTCTGTTTCTACTAGATGTCTCTAAGTACACTAAATACGAAATACGAATGGGTGTTCATTTTTAAAATAATATTTTTTAGTAGAAGCCAATATTACTAAATATTAACAATTATTCCGGTATTACTTTATTTAGTAAACTCAATTTCAGCTGTTTAGTAAATTGGAAGTAGCTAGAAGTTAGGAGAACGCCGTGTAATTAGGAGTTTACATTTAAGAAGAAATTGTGAAATACCTATTGGACGTTTTTCATTAAAAGATATTACTTTTTTGCGTCCTCCATTTCCCTGTTGTAGTTAAACATTCCAGAATAAATCGTTAGAATTAGATTATAAAATAGCAATATTTATTTTAAATAAAAATGGTAATAATTATTTTACTTAAATTAAAACTGTTCTGTTTGTCGTGTATTTTGGTTTTACTGGCATTTATTAAAAAATTTTATCCATGTGAAAAAAAAAAGAACGGTAGTCATATAAAATAAAATTTTAGTAATTTTTAATTTAGAATAAAAAAAATACTTAGTTTTGAAAGTTGACGCAGTAATAATAGTTAACATTAGTTCTATTGGCACAAGCTTCATGTAGGTCCCCTTACATATTTCGCATCGAATGACCACAAACATCCAATCTTCCTCTTTGTTTCTCTACAAAAAAACAACAAGTTTCTTTCCCAGTATCACATTTGTAATTTCCCAGACAGCACAGGACATCCCTGGGACGTCCATTTTATGTCGTTTTAAGGTCCAAACGTCCCGGGACTTCTTTTGGACGTCCGAGGGACGTCCAAGGGATATTTCTAGTCGGACATACCAGAGACGTCCCATAAGGTCGTCCAAGGGACGTCCCATTAGGGATGTATTAGGGACGTTTTCTAGGTGTTAACTGTGTCATTTTTTTACTTAAGCATATTTTTTACAAAATATAATCTTCCTACTAAACTTTATTTTAAAAAGTTATATTTAGTTTTAAATACCATTAATTTATACGAAAATAGACAGAGGCTCCTTTTAGAGAAAAATCTTTATCCTAAAGCAGAGCTGTATCTCTAAAATTTTGTTCTGTAGTGGAACTGAAATTTAAAAATTAGGAGATAAAAGAAGAATGTGGTTATGTTTCAACGACGCTTCTATTTATCTCGTTTATTTCTCGAATTATAATCATTGTAGTTATGGTTGTAATTAGAATTAGTTTATTGCTTTCGATACTAGTTTATAGTTTGGTAATTTATTATTATAGACATTAAGTAGGTATATAGGACTTTTATAGGTAATTTTTGTGGTTGTGGTGTGTTGCTACATTTGTAAAGTAAGTAGGAGTAATGTGCTTAAAAAATACTATAAATTTAAATACATATGTTAATATAAGTACACAATAAAAATCCCATTTATTTTTGCTTTTCATTTTATTAATTTTAAGTTCCCTTTAGGTCCTGTATACATCCTCATTTAGGTCCTATATTAGTCCATGTGGACGTACAATAGATGTCCCCAATACATCCTTCTTAGGTCCTATATAAGTCCGTATTAAGTTCTGTATATGTACTATGTACGTCCCCATGAACATCCCTGGGACGTCCAGGGGACGTACTTTTTGGTAACATTTAGGTCTTATTGGACGTCCCGGGGACGTCCAAATTATGTAAACGGATGTCCGTGGGATGTCCGGACATTTAATGAGGTACATCCTTTGGACGTCCATGGGACGTACTTGTGCTGTTTGGGTTGTCTTTTATTTAAATTTTCCTCTGCAGCTTGTCTTCTTTTTCGGTTTTTCTCTTATTCGTTGATTTCCTTGTTGCTGCTCTCCTTTGTCGCTACTAATTTTCGTTTATATGCATTTGTTTTTGGAATTTTTCGAATTTCTTACTATTCTTTATAGGGTATTGCAGTTGGAACTACAACTGACGAAGTTATTCTCTGTTTCTTTCTAGAGATATATTGCTTAAAAGTAAAGGGTGAATTATTTTCACCAGAATGGCCGAAAAAGGACAGGCGTCACAGCATGGCGAAGGTAGAACTAAGCGGGCCGTGTGGCAAGAATGAATGACAAAAAAATTAGTATAGAGACCACAAGCTGACAAAAGAAGGAGAGGTAGACCACCTACACGACGTGATGGTCAGACGACATCAAACAAATTGTTGGGAAATGGCGCTGCAGGAATTTCAAGACTGAGAGAACTGGAAGAAATTAATTTAACTTTGGACGTAGAAGGCTGAATGATAATGATAATAGTACTGATTTTGTACAGATTGTTTATTTTATAGGTTTTAGACATTTTTATTTCAGACATTTTACAGGGAATAGCTTTGAAAACATATTGTCAAAAATATAATAAAGGAAACATTTTACAAGAATGCTTGCATTCTAGTTATAAAGTATCTTTTGTTGTTTCTAAGAACTAATTGTCTTGCTGGACTAATTGCGATGTCATTAAGTACATTCATGCCCCTTGACAGTAGGAAAGTATTACTGAAAGGTTGGTGGCATTTTGATCAGGATTCAGCTGTCGTTCAGACGCTGCTGTAGCTGCAAAATGTGCGTCGTTGAATACAAAACGGTCACGAGGCCATATTTCTTTTCTACTGAAACGATTCAGAGCTGTTTTAAAAGTAGCTGCTCTAGGAAATGATTTGACTGATAGTGCGCTGATGTTGTGTACATAGTGAAAGGGAAAAAGCTAGTTTAAGAAACCTCAATAAAGAAATAAAACGAAGATGTAAGGTCGACAAAAAACAGTACTATCAAAGTATATGCAAAGAAATTGAGAGACATGGTCAGAATAATCAGCCGAGAGATCTATTTAGAAAAATACGCTACCTGACAAGAGACTTTAGAGACAGAACTTGGGCCATTGAAGATAACACTGGAACAAACTGGATAACGACTGAGAACAAACAGAGAAGACATAGCAGAGACATGAAGATCGTATTGCAGGGCCCTATATAAAGATGATCAACGCCAAGAGCTTGTTAGCCAAATCTCTGACGAGGTGGAAGAAGAACCTGATATACTCGAAAATGAAGTAAGACAGGCTATCAACAAGCTCAAATATAACAAAGCACCAGGTCCAGATATGATAACAGCAGAAATGCTTAAAGCCACAGAAGAAACCGGCGTAAAGTTACTTCATCTACTCTGTAACCAAATATGGCATTCCAAACAATGGCCTGAAGACTGGACAAAATCTACAATAACGACCATACATAAAAAAGGCAGCTTCCATAAATGCGACAATTATAGAACTATCTATCTTATATCCCATGCCAGCAAGATAATGCTACATATAAATCAATGAGAGACTGAAAACATTCCTTCAAAGAGAAATTCCACAAGAGCAAACTGGATTTACCAAAGGTAGAGGCACTCGAGAACACCTGCTGAATATAAGACAGATAATCGAGAAATCTAGGGAATTCAACATCCCACTATACATCTGTTTTATAGATTACCGTAAAGCGTTCGACAGGGTCAAGTGGAGACACTTATGGCGAATACTAAAAGAAGTAGGCGTACCACAACATCTAATTACGCTTATAACCGAACTATATGAACACACTACTGGATCAGTTAAAGTACTTGACACACTTTCGAACGAATTTCATCCAGAACGGGGTGTCAGACAAGGATGTATACTATCTCCACAATTATTCAACATATATGGGGAATATATTATGCGAAGAGCACTTGAAGGATGGGAAAAGGGCATCTCAATAAATGGTCATAAACTAAACAACCTACGTTTCGCAGATGACACAGCCCTTCTTGCAAATAGTCAAGCAGAGCTGATAGAACTTATACGACTGATCGAAAACGAAAGTCAAATATTTGGTCTGCAATTAAACATATCAAAGACAAAGATCATGATAGTGGATAGACTACACAACAATCATCCACACATAACCACAATTGACCGGTTCGAGGTTGTGAGCTCATACTTATATCTGGGATCATTAATCACAAACACAGGGTCATTACAAGAAGAGATTAAACGTAGATGTGATCTAGCAAAAGTTGCCACAGCAAAAATGACGAAAATATGGAAGGACTGTCAAATTTCAAGAGCGATAAAGATGAGGTTGATCAACTGCTTAATATTCCCAATACTGACCTACGGATGTGAATCTTGGACTCTGAGACAATCGGAGAGAAGAAAGATAGACGCCACTGAAATGTTCTGTTGGAGACGAATGTTACGAATTCCTTGGACCGACCGTAGAACAAATAATTCAATTTTAAGAGAGCTAAAAGTTAGCCAACGACTCTCTAGTAAAGTCCATCTCCAACAATTAAAATATTTTGGGCATGTTATGAGAGCAAACACAGAAAACATGGAAAGACTCATAATACAAGGAAAGGTAGAAGGCCGAAGATCACGAGGAAGATCCCCAACAAGATGGATAGATCAAATTACAGGAATATGCCAAAGACCTATGCATGAATTAAAAGAAATGACCAGAGACAGAGATCTCTGGAGACGGACAATACACGACATCACGTCGACCACTACACTCCCTCTGGGGGGTCAGGATTGAAGAGAGAGAGAGAGCGCTGATGTTATCAACATTTTTTTCTAGAGTGTTATATGATTTTGTTGCTTATATGTTATATGTATATATGTTGATTGTAGATTATAGCAAATATATTTGTTTAAATAAAAAAAATACGTTTTTTTATTATAATTCTTTGTGACTTTTATAAGTTTTACAATATAGGTAACAAAAATAATAAAACAAATAGAAAACTTCAATTTTTTCAGATTACAATTCTTTTATTGGAAATTTTACTTACACTTTAAAGTAAAATTATTCAATATTTCAAAAATAATTTTGTACTCTCGATACCTACGTTAATTTGATATGTAAAAAATACATGTTATTTTTTAAAATAAACTAATTATTTAAGGCCAATTACTAAACGAAAAAGATGCAGGTGGAAGAGGCGGAGCGGTTGGCAAATGCGCACCTTGTGGATGAAATCCCTCTTCGTCAGCTGTATATATAGTTCTTATGATTTCCCCATTCGGCCCAGTATATTGGTACTGTCCTAAAAAAGTAAATTGATATTTAAAAAACTAGTCACATTAAGTGTATACATTTATTTAAAAAAATAAATTGTAATAACATAAATATATTTAAATTAAATACAAAGGATCAGAATATGCAACCGGACACTTCCTAAAGCTAAGGTTAAAGTGGCATTTTTTTTTATTGGGTTAATGCCTCGACAACTATAATCATTTGCATGGTACAGTTAGGTACCTAGTGTAGTGTGTGTGTGTGTGTGTGTGTGTGTGTGTGTGTGTGTGTGTGTGTGTGTGTGTGTGTGTGTGTGTGTGTGTGTGTGTGTGTATGTGTGTGTGTGTATGTGTGTGTGTGTATGTGTGTGTGTGTGTGTGTGTAGATTAATTGTCTTGATACTTAGCAAAGTCGACGTCATTGTCTCTGCTAAGAGACGCTAATTGTATCCGAACGTCTACGGTTCCTCTGGTGAGTACCGACCGCACAAGGATAGAAATTATTTTCATTTATTAATTTTTAATAGGTGGGATTCGAACTCACGACCTTTAGGTTTAAAGGTAGGCGCTCTTACCACTAAGCCACAGAGGGGGTTAAAGTGGCATTTAAAACATCTATAAAATAAAGAAAATAATGATATACCTAGAATAAATATTACGATCATCAATAGCAGGAAATTCTTTTGAAGTTTCATTTGTTTATAGTTCTACAATACTTAATGGGTTTTAGCTTTCCTTAATTGATCTTTCCAACATTTACAAGTCACCAATATTCTCCAGGTTCTTATTTCCAGTAGCTGTAGATCTGCTTCCACATGCTTGCTTTATCTTCTGGGTTGACTTTTTTTCACAGGTTGGTCCACCCACATTAATCTCTTGACTGAAATTGTTATTTACAATTGATAGTTGATTCCCTATACAGTTTGTATACCAAACTTGATACGTTTCTTTCATAATACACAGTCGTTTATGGTTTTACATGCTGTTCTTAGGACTATTGTTAATATTATAGTTTTCACTACATTTGTTATCTTCTTAAGTAAATGTACAAGTTCAGCTTTATGAGCCGGACTCTTTGACAATTGGACAATTCTGTTGGGCGCCATTCATCAAAGCTGCGGCATGGATCTCTATTCGCATGGATATTTGACTAAATAAAATGATACAAAAATAATTATTTGCACATTAGTTCCACATGTACATCCACATGTAGTTGGGTCCATATCATTAAATTCGCGTAAAAAGAAGTTGGTAAACATTTAAAGATAGCGCTTGCCGTTAACGGTGATAACCATAGAATGATATTATTCCTAGGACAGCGCCAGTCCAAAATCCATACTATGAAATAACGTTTTCGGGATGAATCTTTGATCTTATTTGAATTGGTATTGTTACAAATTTGACAATTCTGCTTGTTGACGTACGAATCTCGGATTCTCCTGTATACTTTCACGGATAACGGCTATATTTTTAGTTTTGAATTAAGTCAATGTATGGTTGCTTACTAAGTTAGTGGACTCAAATTTATCCCCCATATTGCAAATATATCTTACAGTAAAAGGATTGTGCAAACCGTAAAATGGGCAAAGCGCATTGAATACAGCCCGAAAAAAAATGCCTAATTTTTTATAAAAATTGTATAATTTGCACGTGTTGCTATAAGCTATATTATTCCATGGTAATTTGGCAAAACAGACTTAATAAAAGCAGCCAATAAGACAAAGGTAGCAACAATATGGCAGCTACGAACTGTTAAGGCTCGGAAGTTTCTATTGTGGCAGCAATTCTTACATGCCATTAATTACATTTAATTTATTGTCTTTAGGCTATAATATACGGGTGTTCACAGTATATAAGATTGTCATCCGTAAAAAGTGCTTCAATTGATCCTTTGGTAAGAATCATTTACAGTACCAAAGATTGCAGACAGTACTTGAATGTTTTCTTAATTTTCTGCCAATATTAGTGTGACGGATGCCATAAACCGTTGTAAAATCAACGATTTACTAAAAGTATGTAAAATTTCATATAATAATAACCATATATAAGTACGTACTTTATTAAATTTAAGTCTAACGGACACTGCAATTCGTTGGGAATTAATAATTTTCCTTAGCGTTTTTCTCTAAAGTATTGTGTACATACAATATGTGATACCATTGAAAGCAATAAATTAGTACCTTGTCAACTTTTGGTTTAATGACCAAAAAAATAAAAAAAATACTAACAAAAAACCGGCTTCGGCCACCAAAAAAATTAACAAAAACCCCAAAACCCGGGCACGTAGGGCCCAACCCCCTTGAGCACCAAGTCGCCGAACTGAGCCGGGACTCAGAGCGGAGACTTGAGGCCCAAGTAAGCAATTTTAGTTCGCGGATAAGCCACATTAAGATAAACAGGAATATAGCGGAGATGTGCTGTCCTGAGTTTTTGCATTCGGTTAGGAAACCATGTTGGAGTTCTATTACACAGGACCTCCACATGAAGAGCACTTGGTTGATTGTTGTGCCTCTATAGCAAATCAGATTGTTATAGGGGGGAAAGGGATGGTCTAGAACATTGGATCACGGTGGGGTGACTCCTGTTTTTACTCGAGTTAACACACCTTGCTCCAATGAATTGTTACACCCGATCGTACTACCTAAGTCAACATTTTTCATAGGGTGGGTTCAATCAAATTGCTTGCTTGCTTTGGTTTGATGAATATAATGATTCACTGAGTAATAATTATAAAGTTTCCAGAGATATTGTCAAAAATACTTTACATAAAATGATATTTTGTCAATAACATATTATTTTTAACAATTTTATCTTGATCAATACTATAACTAATGTGTGAATGTAATTTGTGATTTTTCAGAGTAATCTCCAAAACTTTTAACTAGTTAAAATATTATATTCTAATTTGTTGTTAGAAGTTTAAACCATGTAAACAAATACGGACACTACAATCTATTTGAGTCTTGAACTTGTGTTTACTCGTATATTTCACAAACCAAGAGATGTTTGTCACTCCAAACTATATTCTTTAGTACTATTTCTTCTTTGGTGTTTTAGTATCAGTCACTTTTCTGTTTATATGCTAAAAATGTGAGATGGCTGACTAGTCATCCATCTCGTCTTTTTCTTGATATATTGCTAACTTCCTCCTATCTTTGTCCTTTGTGCGATTTTTCGTGTTTATAGTTAGTGTAAATCTCTAACAAAATACGTAATAATCTTCTCTTAGTAATGCTCTTGATTAGCAGTAACTGGAGGCTCATTCTCATCTTAAACAAAATAAGCAGCACGACTTCCATGTCCATACAGCACACCAAATGGTAACTAGTTCGCTGTGGATAGGTTTCTCTACAATAACATCTAGGCGATTAAATCCATGAAATTCGTTTGTTTGTTTAATTTATGCAACCGTTATGGTGACTGTGACTTTCGTCCGAAAACCATACAATTATTAAAAAATCCACTAGACTCGCTACTCATGCACAGTTATCTTCTCTGGCACGTTTGTTTGCAACGTTTAGTTTTTGTCTAATTTGAATGCTATACGCATAACCATTAAGAGATTTGAACAGTCGACGCGTGAATGTTTCAAGGCTATTCGGTTTAGAGCTCTATTTATCAAGACCTCGTTTTTGAGACTGCAAGATCTGAGAAAGAACGCGTCCTTGATTATTGTCGGCAACATCAATGGTACATGGTAGTCAGTAAGCGCGAAATATTAAATACACAGCTTTTGGTTAACCAACATCCAATTGACAAAGTGGACAGCTACACACACCTTGGTATCAACATTAACATCCAATGGGATCCCTCCAGTGAAATAAAACAACGCATAGGAAAAGCGAGATCAGCGTTCATCATGATAAAGTCTCTTTTCAGAAGTCATGATTTACCACTTACTACCAAAATCTCTCTCATTAAATGCTATGTATTTTCTGCCTTATTATACGGAGTAGAGGCCTGGACACTTTCCGAAGCTTCCTTAAGAAAACTCGAGGCATTCGAGATGAGGTGTTACAGACGTATCTTAAGAATTTCATGGGTGGATCGTGTAACTAATGTTGAGGTCCTACGTAGAATAGGCAAGGAATGCGAGATTATTAACACCATCAAAGAGCGCAAACTAGAATATCTTGGCCATGTTATGAGGAATGAACAGAGATACGGCTTGTTGCAACTCATTCTTCAGGGCAAGGTATTTGGAAAGAGAGGACCAGGGAGAAGAAGAATATCTTGGCTTCAAAACCTGAGAAAGTGGTTTAATACATCGACAACCGGACTATTCAGAATAGCAGCAAGCAAAGTTAGGATAGCCATGTTGATCGCCAACATCCGGAACGGATAGGCACCGTAAGAAGAAGAAGAAGAGGCGGAGTAGACAATCACGACCAACTAAGGCAATGTTACGGTTTGAACAGAAGATCTAATAAATGGTGGCATCGACTTCTTTGGGCATGCCTAGAAATAAACTTTGTAAATAGTTTCGTTATAGCTGAAAAAGTATTAAAGCCACCTCCAAAAAATTTGTTGGATTTTCGTAGAGACCTTACTAGTAGCCTCTGTTTTGCTTCCCCCTACAGAACAAACAAGACAACAAGACTAAAAGGAAAAAAACGATGACAGAATTTTAGCGTTTCTTTGTAAATAAGATTGTCCAATAGAGCAAATCAATGGACAATATTTTTTAATCAATGTCAATTTTCTCTTCACGTTAAGTTTTTCTATGTATTAATCAAAATAAACACTATTTCAAAGAATATCATAAGATAAATAATTAAAATTATATAGTTACTGTATTATGCTATTTTTTTTTTCACTCTAAATTTATCCCAGCGGTACTTTTCAGTACCAGATTGTTTTAGTAACAGCACAACATCAATTATGAAAATTAAATTGTTTAAAATTTATTAAAAAATGTATATAGGATCTTCTATTTATTAAAAGGTATTATGTCTATAATGAACCATCCTTATATCTGGGATGTAAGGATGGTTCCGATTACTAATACTTTCAAGTATCTCCGAAACTGAAAGGGTTAATAACAAAGACCTGTTAACATGACTGTGCCAGCGTTTTCTTAGTACAGTATCAGTAAGTACCATTTTAATAAATTTAATTCTTGTTCCTTACACCCAACTACAAAATTTGTGCCAAAACATACAATATATCAACAAAATTTTTATGAATAAAAACCTACCTTGTTTTGTTAACTTTCCCTCATTATCAAGGTGTCCCTCCTCTTCTAAATAAATTTCGTTTTCAGTTTCAAACGCATAATTATAAGTTCCTTCGGGAGTAATATCAAAAGTTTGTCGTACTATAGCTGGAATTGTATTCGACTTGGTGCGAGTTTGAGTACTAATGGTCGAGATAAAGTTAAATAAAACTAAGGACACCTAAAATAAATAAAACATAGATTAAATAAATAAATTTTAAAGAGTTCTTATTATATTTGTAAAGAAAAACTATTGTTTTGTTTTTCTTTAATAATATTTCCATTTCTTATAAAAATTAAAATTGTAATATTCTCATTTTGTTACGCTACTGTAAATACATTACGTTCTTCTTTTTATTTTCATGTTAGGCATACTTGTGAGGTGTTTTGACAGTGACAGTTCATTAATTTTACCATTGTCAATTGTCTGGCCATTACTTGTTACCTGAAATTTGTATAATATTGACCTGTACCTGAAAATACAGGTAATGTATTTAATTAATAATTATTATTGTACAGAAAATATTAAAGTCTACTTTTTACAGAGAAACGGAGTTGAGTTTATTTTAGAGTTTGCTGACAAAAAACATTACATAGTTATTAAAACTATGTAAAGGTTTTTATTTACTGGAGTTTGTATGACTACGGGCCTTGGGGTATAATCGCCTAAATAAAATAATTTATAAAAAAAAATTTGTAGTTTAACTTCCAATTATTATTATTGAATTATTCAGATAATATTATGACATTGAAGGACTCATTCAAATGAATAAAAATAAATAATGAATGAACGAATAAAAACATAAATAAAACACAAACAAAACTGAGATTAAAAAATTCTTGATAGGAAACGGGTTAAAATTGATATAGCGAAATAATAGTACAAAAATTATAAATTTAATGCTTAGAGAAAGAAACTAAAAACGTTGATGGAAAACAAAAATGTGGTAGTCCTTAAACAGCCCCCACATTTCTGTTTCCATACATTTTCTGCACGTAAAAAGTAGATACATTAAAAGTATTTTGTTCCATTATTTAAATTACATTGTTTGACCAACTGGAATTCTGAGGTTTCTGAGGAATCAGAAATAACAGAAATTAAAAAAAAGTTGAAATGTTAGTCCCCAATTAAACCAATTATTACATAACTACATTAATAGAGGATAAAAGGACAGCAAAGACAACTGTGAAAACCGCTAGGAACAAAAAGATTTTAATTTTTTGTCTATCTCACTTAAGTTACGATAGTGTCCATCTTAAATGTCTCTTGAAAGCCTTAAAATTGGTTAATATTAACATAATTGTTATAAAAGTAATTAAAGAACTATATAGTAACATACAGACCTATGCAAAAATACTGAAGAGTATTGTAAAAAAACTTGTCATGTCTGTGGCAACTAAAGTGGTATTTAAACTTATGGATCAATGTCTCAATAAAGGAATGACATTGTACAATGACAACTGGTACACCAGCGTAGAGTTAGCTGAAAAGTTACAAAGCAGACAAACGCACCTAGTAGGAACACTACGAAAAAATCGGAAAGGTATTCCGAAATAAGTACTGGTAAGCAAACTGAAGAAGGGTGAAATTGTAAGAAGAGAGAGAAACGCCATTGTCATTTTTAAATGGAAAAGTAAGTTCGATGTCCTCATGCTTACCACCAAACATAAACTGAATTTTATTGATTTTCTAGGTAAAATTAAGGTCAAAAAGAAGCCGGAAGCTATTGTGGCTTATAATAATGCAAAAAGTTTCATTGATGTATCCTACCAATTGTCGTCTTATTCTAACTCTATTAGACGGAGCATTAAATGGTACAGAAAGGTGACAGTTGAACTACTTACTAGAACAAGCATAGTAAATGCTAATTATTTATATAATAAAAACAAAACTGTACCAGAAAAAATAAAAGTATAACAGATTTCAAAGAAAAATTGTGCTTGTAACTACTTTAACTGACCAACGGCTTCGGGCGGATGAGTTGGTAAGTGGTAGGGCACCCTTTTGTCCGGAGGTTGTGAAATCGGCCTCGAAGGCGGATGAACCAAATATTTAATCAACGGCATAAGGATGGAGAAGCACAAGTAGGGCAAACACTCCATTAAAGATCCAATGCGATACGCCCTAGTCAATCAATCATGGCAATGCTCAATACTAAAATAAACTCCGGAGTAAGTCCTCCGGTCGGGTCTCCGGGGAGGACAGTTTTGAGTTTACCAAAAGATAATAAATTGTAGTGTAGAAAGAATATCAAGATCTGCACATGGAATGTCAAAACTTTATACAAAGCAGGCAAAATCCACAATGCAATACAGGAGATGAAGAGAATGCATATTGAAATCATGAGAATAGCAGAAAAGAGATGGTCAGATTCTGAAGAAATACAAATAGAATATCACAAGGTATATTACTCGGGAAAAAGTAATGGATCACATGAATATGGAGTCGGAATAATTGTATCACCCAAGGTTGCCAAATGCGTTACTAACATTACACCAATATCAGAGAGAGTGATGTTACTACAAGTATAAGCCAACCCTATTAATATAAATATCATTCAAGTCTATGCTCCCACTGCAGACAAAGAAGAGCACTGAATGCAGATTGAGTTCTATAAGAACATTAACAGTATCATACAGAAAATTCCTCGACAGAAGTTCTCATCATTATGGGCGATTTTAATACCAAGATTGGAGCTGGAGGTAAAACACAGTACATTGGAGCACATGGACTTGGAGTCAGAAACGAGAGAGGAGACCTGCTAGAAAAATTTGCAGAAGACTCAGAACTAGTTGTCACTAACACATTCTTCCAATTACCACCTCGCAAGCTGCTTTATATCTGTCAAGACTTATCCTGGAGCAGATTTAGATACAGACCACGTTCCACTGTTGCGAGTATTTCGAGTCAAACTCAAAACAGTGCAGAAAAGAAAAGCACAATCATACGAACTACGCATGCTGAAAGACCTTGATACGAAGATGTGCCAAGCCACGTTAAACGAGCAAGTACTGCAATTACATACGAATCGGAAGAAAAACAAACGATCAAACAAATTACAGAGATAGCGCAAAATGTAAAGGATAAACACTTAAAGACAGATAGATTAATAAAGAAAAAATCATGGATGACAGATGAGATCCTGAAACTAATGGACGAGAGAAGAGAAGCCAAAAATGACGCGGACAAATATAAAACCATAAATATATTAATAAGAACTAAAATTAGAGAAGCGAAAGAAAAAGAAGCAAGGGAAAGATGCGAAGAAATTGAGACTCTGCAATCAAAGTACGATAGTCACAATGTACATAGGAAAGTTAAAGAACTCACAGGAGGACTAAGACGAAAGCAGAGAGGAAATATAACTGATTCTGACGGAAACATCATCTTGGACAAACAGAATAAAATAAGAACGTGGAAAGAATATCTAGAAAAACTATTTAAAGACCAAAGAGATAGACACCTTTGAGCTAAAAGAAGAGGTAAATGATGGACCAAGAATATTACAGCAGGAAGTTTATTCGCAATAACACAGTTAAAGGATGGCAAAGCGGCAGGTCCTGATAATATACAAGCAGAACTACTCAAACTAATGGACAACGAATCAATAGCAATAATCGCAAAGATATTCAACAACATATACAACTCTGGAGAAATACCAACAGAATGGCTGAAATCTGAGTTTATTGCACTTCCAAAAAAAACAGGAGCCAAAAAATGTGAAGATTACCGTACTATAAGCCTCATGAGTCATCTCTAAAATTGTTCCTAAAGATAATTCATAAGAGAATCTACAAGCTCTGTGAAAGTCAAATTTCTCCCAACCAGTTCGGGTTCACAAATGCTGTTGGTACTAGAGAGGCTTTGTTCTCAGTACAAGTCTTATTCCAGAGATGCAGAGACGTCAACTGCGACGTTTACGCATGTCTGGTTGATTACGAGAAAGCGTTTGATCGAGTACAGCACGCCAAGATGATGCAAATACTAAAAGAAGCAGGAATTAACAACCAAGATCTGAAAATAATTAGAAATCTTTACTGGAATCAGACAGCAAATCTCAGAGTTGAAGGTAAACACACTGACTATGTGAAAATCATGCGTGGCGTGAGGCAAGGCTGTATTTTGTCTCCTCTAATCTTCAATCTGTATTCTGAAAGAATATTTATCGAAGCTTTGCACGAAACTGAAAAAGGTATTCTACTAAATGGTTACCGGCTTAACAACATCAGATATGCAGATGACACCATAGTATTTGCGGACAACTTAGAAGACCTACAAGTTCTTATGAACAAAATCACGTATTACAGTCAACAATATGGACTCAATATAAACGTTAAAAAGACAAAGCTTATGATAATTAGCAAGAAAAGGATAACAAAAGGTCAACTCTACGTCAACCAATCTCCTGTAGAAAGAGTGACGCACTACAACTACCTCGGCACCATAATAAATGAAGAATGGACCAACAACCAGGAGATTAGAGCACGCATCGCAAAAGCTAGATCCACCTTCAATCGGATGGGGGCCTTCTTCAAGAGTCACAACCTCTCTCTTGATACAAAAGTAAGAATGCTGCGATGCTACGTCTTCTCTGTCCTTTTATATGGTGTTGAATCGTGGACCTTGAACGAAGATATGAGCAAAAAACTGGAAGCATTTGAGATGTGGCTATATCGGAGAATACTTAAGATCCCGTGGACTGACCGAGTCACAAATGAGGAGGTCCTTAGAAGAATGAATAAGAACCGAGAGATACTGACCACCATTAAATCTCGAAAGTTACAATTCTCGAATATATGCGAAATGAATCCAGATATGCTCTCCTTCAAGCCATCCTGCAAGGAAAAATATTTGGAAAGCGAGGTCCAGGAAGAAGAAGAACATCTTGGTTGAAGAACCTCAGAATCTGGTTCAATACAACATCTGTGCAGCTTTTCCGCGCTGCTGCAGATAAGATAAAGATTGCCATGATGATCGCCAACATTCGTAACGGATAGGCACATCAACAAGAAGAAGGACTACTTTAAAAAGGGAAACAAAGTTAAACTTACCACAACACACCATCAGAACATAAATTTATTCAAGCAGGTAAAAAAAGTCGGTGCGTAACATGTTACCAACGAAATAAAGATAATCATAGATGACAGTATGCAATAAATAAAACTAAGCAAGTTACCACTAAATGTGACCAAAAATTACTCTGCTTAGAATGTTTTTTGATAGGCACAAAATTTTGCCAAAATAGTCATTTGAGTATAATTTAAAATATGTGTTATTATTTTATTTTATAGTGTATTACTGTATCTATTATTAATCACAATAAACACTTTTACATCAAAATTAATTAGCTTTTGTTATATAAAATCTACTATAATTCCACTGCTAATAGAAAAATGACGAAGTATTTTTTCCCAGGCTAAGATCATTTTTAATTTGCCCCAGGCCACGCTAAGTTAAATCTTATTAGAAATACACGTAAAGTGTGCTCCTGTGGAATACACATGGTCAAACTATCTTTACTGACTGTATAATATGTAAATATACACGTGGCAGTTTGAACTCAGCCACTGTGTATATTCAGGTATACACGTGGCAGATAAAGTGTTAAATAAAATTAACTAGATATCCACATAAAATTGTTTTTAAATCAGATTAAAAAATTGAATAAATGGTGAATAAATGAATTATATACTGTATATAATTTCAAGGAATATACATAAACTACAAGCAATTCAAATAACTTGCCTATAGCCAATTATTGTACAAAATATTTTTAATGGCATGTATACAACTTTCGCACTTACCACTACTTTCATCTTCAAGCACTTTAATCCGCTAATAAGCCACTTGGATTTCCTGCACTCTCCCGCCGACTTTGTCAATTAAATTTAGTGTTACATAATGACAATCTCTAGACTGAGAATCTTCTTTTGTAGTGGTTATAAATATATGCACAAACAATTTATAATATTTTTAATAGTATTTGTTCATAATACACCTTACACGCTCGATTGGAAATATAAAATAAAATAAGTAAGAATAAAGCTTTCGCTTATATAACATCGTATAGTAATTTGGGTGAAATGGGAATGTTAATTTCTTTTATAATATAATTGCTCTGTTACGGTAGTATTACTGCCTCCCTCCTAAAATAATTATCCGATTTTGATTCACTTCAAAAATTACGAATTTATCATATTTTTTTTAAAATAACTTGTTTTTATAATTCTGAGAATAAATGCTTTCTATTTTCGTAAAACTATTAATTTTTAAAATGCTATATTGGCACCTAATGCAAAAACATTGTTCTATTTAGTAACCAGGACATGGTTTTAAAGAATTTCGACCACATTTTTTGACTTAATTTTCATGGGGCAAAACGCCAGTTCAGTCCTGTTCCGAGGCATTAACCTGTTTCTTTGAGCTGGCTGGTTTATAGTCCTACAGTAGGGTGCTAACCTGGTTGAAGACCAATTTTCTGTCAGGGTTTATTCCCATAGCCGATATGTTCCAGTTTTAAGGCGCCAGAAACTCGCACCCAGTGGTTACGCGGCGTATTTCTTTCGTCGACGTGAGAGTAGAATTTGTTGGCAGAGCTGAGTTCTATTCCTAGAACTTTCGACTTTTTCGTCAGAAAACAGTGGACGTTTCTCAGAGTTTTATTGCAGTGTGAGCTTCGGCAACTCGTACTGCCTCCGAGGTCCCTTACCAACCTTTAACCACCATGGCAAAGGACTTTAATGTGGTGATCTCTACACAGAAAACTAAAACAATTGTAATCAGTAAAGAACCAATTAGATGTAAACTGGAAATCGACGGTATCAGCATTGAGCAAGTAATGGAGACAAATAACCTAGGAATTACACTGTCTAGCTACGGAGATGTGGAGAAGGAAGTGAAAAATCAAGTACAAAAGGCTAATAAAATAGCAGGTTGTCTTAATAACACGATATGGCGCAATCCCCACATTAATACCGACGTGAAATCAAGAATCTACAAAGCAACAATAAGACCAATAATGACATACACTTCAGAGACAAGACCAGATACCTCCAAAACTCAGCAACTACTAGAAACAGCAGAGATGCGTTTACTGAGGAGAATTACAGGAAACACACTGAGGGATCGAATGAGGAGTGAAGAGATCAGAAGAAAATGCAATATACCAGAAATAAATGAGTGGACACTGAACAGAAAAAAGGAATGGAACGAACACATAAACAGAATGAAAGAGACCCGATTAGTCAGAATAGCGAGGGACAAATCACCAAAAGGTAGAAGTATCGGGCGACCACGCAAAAGATGGAGTGATAACCTCCAATAGAGGCACTAATCGACATTGAACAAGCGTTTTGCTTATAAAAAAGAAGAAGAAGAAGAAGAAGAAGAAAACGCCAGTTATTGGACACGAGATTTCTGCAAGTGCTAACAAGAGTATATTTCTGTAGGTGGCACTACTCATTTCTATATTACGTACATTCTTATGTCTATCGGGTCCTGTGATTTTGACTGTAAATATTTTTAGGCTATGTCAGTGAAGTGACATTTAAGCATTATGTTAAGCGTCTGCTCTGACTTTTTTTTCAAAACCATGTATTATTTTTAGGGTAACATTGTATTTTTATTTAAAAGGGAGTAGTAAAGTCACTTATAGTTCCTAAGGTAGAACGCGTACAGTAATAATAATTTTAATTCGTCTAATAATTAAACTAGAGAACTTGCTGAATTCTAATATTGGACACCTGTCCAATCACTGGATAAGTATACTTACCACAGCTGAAAAAAAAATGGAATTCTGAATGCCACTATTTACCTTAAATTAAAACACAGGGACATAAAGATACACTTGGACCGTCTTTTATTTTAACTTGTGAGTAGGTACGTTTATTAAATTTACCTAATCCATAGCATTAAGATGTACCAAATAAGGCCTGGTTCCTAACAAGGCCCACCCTCATGTTTTTACATAAACAATTTGAAAAAGTACCAAATTCTCTTACAATAAATTATTTGCTGGCATCTAGTGGACGAGACAATAACTACTTCGGCAGCCATTGTTGTGTTAGGCTTTTTATGTTCATTTGCGTTGCCGCAACCAAGAAAGCAAAGCTGTGTTCTTATTTGCAAGGTATGTTATATCTGTTTACATCCATGTTGTTATAAATAATTTTGTACTGTTAATTTGTATTTATGAACAGGAAATTGTGTGTTTGAATATGGTAGTTTTATTTTTCTAAAACGGCGTATATTTACAGAGTTATTAACATATCTCGAGTTTCAACTACTGTTAAGCCGGTGGCTCCTAATAAGGCCCACCCGTAGTGCTCCAAACAAGGCCCGGGTGGGCCTTATTCGGCATACTCTTGTTTTTCTGTATTATTGAATACATTTTGGAAAATGAATACAGTTTTCATGCCAAGTGGCATGAAAAAAATATTAATTATTGTGCTAAGGGATCACTTACAGTTTTAAATACAGAGAATAATAATTATGTAAGGAAATACATCCAATAATACAAGTAGACTAATAAAAAAAATTACATTAACTAAGCAATATTAAAACACATTTTTTTAATCTATGATGGAAGTTATATTATTTTGTTCTGTTTATCTGGCATTGTACTTGTACGTCTAACTAATTTTTCAAAAACTATAAAAATATAAGTCTACAATTCAGAAGTATGAGTGTATTTATTTATTGAATTTTTTTATTTTAAGATGGATTCAAAGACAAAACGTGCTACCTGGAGTGAGGATGATTTAAAAAAAGCGATGGAAGCTGTTAATGAAGGGATGGCAGTCAGAACTGCATGTAAAACTTATAGTATCCCCAGGCGTACGTTACGCAACCACGTAAGTAGCGGTGTAGCAATTAAGAAGTTAGGACGGAAACCTTGCTTGGAGGAAACTCAAGAAAGAGAACTTACTCAAAGAATTTTTCGGCTTGCTGAAGTCGGGTATCCACTAACAGCTAAAGTTCTCCGACGCAGTGTTTTCGAGTTCTGCGAAAAAAATAATTTACAGAATCCATTTAATGAAGAAAAAGGTTTGGCTGGGCGCAAATGGCTTAAGTTATTCCTACTATGGAACCCAGAGGTTGCCAGAAGGAAGGCGCAGCATATGAATCCAGGAAGAGCTGCAAAATTGAATGAGTTTATTGTCAATGATTATTTCGAGAAATTAAAAAATATTATGACCAAACTAAAGGCATTTGACAAACCACAACTCATCTATAATATGGATAAATAGGGTTGTCGTCTGTCTCTCCACAAGTCTCCTCAAGTTTTAGCAAAGAAAGGTGAGAAACGGCTACACTTTGTTGCTCCTGAACATAGAGAAAATGTTTCCATTGTATCGTGTGGAAATGCAATTGGGCTGATTATTCCTCCAATGATCATTTTCAAAGGAAAGCGACGCAAGCCAGAATGGGAAGATTATTTGCCACCTGGAACAGCGGTAGAAATGACAGACAAGGGCTCAATGACTACATCAACCTTTATCAAGTGGCTGCATCATTTTGCTATGTACAAACCTGCAGGAGAAGTTCTGCTAATTTTTGATGGAGCATCGTCACATTTGGATCCAGATATTTGTGACGTAGCTGAAGGTCACAGTATTAGACTGTACTGCTTGCCTAGCAATACGACTCATGAACTTCAGCCTATGGACAAGTCAGTATTTAAACCATTTGAGTCTTATTGGGACGATAAAGTCCAATTACATTGGTCGACTAATAAAGGAGAAGAAAATAGAGCAATTAGTAGACGGGTATTTGGAAAAATCTTTTGCAAGTATGGCCAAAAGCTGCGTCACCAGTTAATATCATGTCTGGATTCCGAGCGACTGGGATTTATCCTTTTGATCCAGAATCTATTCCTGACTGTGCATTCACTCCTTCCCATCCTTCACAGCGTCCTGATCAAGAAAACATGCGAATGGGTTCCGAACCTGCTGAAACATCAAATATTCCAACAGTTTCCGAACAAAGGAGTTTCCGAAAAAGGAGACGCCAATCCAGCAGTTCTAGTTCTTCGGAAAGTGAGCTATTTTCTGTGAGGGATAGTTCATGTGATGTCAGTCTTAATGGCGATGATGACGATAGCAACAACCATGATGAACTCGACTGTTCCTTCCAAGACATTTTGAAAACTTCAGAGCTGAGAAAGAAACTCCAGACTCCTAGACGGAAGGCACTAAACTATCAGGCGCAAGTAGTAACTAAAGAACTATTTGCTGAAAGACAAAAGCAGCAAAGTGCCAAAGTAAATAATGCCTCTAAGGAGTTTTCGGTTGGGAAAGGAAAGAAAATTCCGGTGAAACAAAAACATCTGGTGAAATTTAGTAATTAAAACGGCGGTTCTGCTCCAAGCTGCAGTGGAACATCAGAAGCTGTTAACTGGTTTTGTCATTTATGCTGTGAAGACAGAACAGCTGACATGAGACTTTGCAAAAAATGCAAAAAGTATGTACATGAAGAATGTGTAGGGTTGACATCCAAAGACAAAGTGCCGAATTTCGTATGTCCATGGTGTGAGAAGTGATAATATATCATTTGTTAATTATATTAATGTTTATTAAATATTTGGTAAATCTTGTCATTGGTTTTATTGCCATTAACACGCTTCATAGATTAAAGTTTTGGGGTGGGCCATATTAGGGACCAGCTTTGGGCCTTATTTGGAAGATGGGTTCCTAATAAGGCCCTACTTCAAAAGTTAATAATTTATTTGATTATGATAATACTAATTACGAAATAATTTTTTTTGTATTTTATTTTTATATTACTAGAACTGAAGCATGTTACACATTTTTCCTGACCTCGTATCTCCTAAGTATAATAAATTAAAAGGTAATATTTGTTAGATGGACCTTATTTGGTACACGTACCTATTTGATTTTACATTCAATATTCCAGATGGAT